GGTGCCTTTTTTCTTCTTCTTGTGGTCTTTTCTAAGCAATGCATCAATGCTATTCTCCTTTCCTCATTCCCTTCTCCCCAGAGTTATCTTTGCTGATGGGACCAAGTTGTACTTCCCAAGAAGGCCCTTTGCAGGAGCAACCCCTCATCTGCAGTCATGAGTGTCACCATTTCTCTTCCTCTTTCAGGCTTTCCTCTCAAAAACCTTCTATAACAATTCCTTTCTGGTAATCTCAAGTTCCAGGGAATTGGGAAGAACTTGCTTCTCATCAATATCTACTACATACTCAGTCCTTTGGTCAATAACTCCTGTAGTCTGAGCTGTGGGATAAAGCCCCCGTAGAAGGGGCTTTTGCACTCAGTACACTGGTTGGTGATAGGAGTTTGACCGTTTCCAAACTTTTAAGAGCAGTCAGTTTTTGTAAATAACTGAAAAGGTAAAATATCACAGTTAATTCTTTTATATAAAGAGAAGCAGCATTGCATAGTGAAAATGAGTATGAGAGAATAAGTCAGAAGACGTGAGTTCCAGTCCTCATATGTGTTAGTTGTGGGTCTGGTCTAAGTCAACCTCAATGACTGTTTCCTCTTAAAGTAAAATGGAAATGATTAATAACAAATGCCCTGCTTACCGTACAGGACTGCTGTGAGGACGAAGTAGTCAGGTAACGTATGAGGAAGCGTTTTATAATAATGGAAGAGTCTAAGTCTTTATTTCCTCAGGTTGAGATGAAAAGCTCTTTGGTAAACTTGGAATTGTCATTTTAATATGCAACCAATTTGCCCTTACATTTAATTAAGCATGTGTAATAATTAGCCTTTTTGTCACAAGTTTTTAGTCTTTGCCTTACAACCTTGTGTAGTAGGTCACTACCATTACCCCATTATGAATGGGGAAATAAAGCATGAAAAGAAAAATCATCTTAAAGGAGGTATATTCTAGATTCAGAGTCCACCTCCTTGTTTTCTTGGCCCATTACATAACCACACCTCACTGCCTATTCTAATTTATTGCCCTCACCCTTAAACATCTGATCTGTCCATTTTGTTCCACATTTATATCATGACTTTTTACAACTCCCAGTCTCTACACATGATTTTTTTTCTCCCTCTGCTTGCAATTCTCTTTGTCCAGGTCTCCATCTGGCAAACACCTGCTCATTGTTCAGCCCAGTTTAATCATTATCCCCTCTGTGAAGCCTTTCTCAATTTTCTCCTGCAAAAGTATAGATATTGTACCCGTGTCTAAGAAGCACCATATGTGTACCTCTATGTTGGCTCTCATTGCAATGCTGGGTGATGCTTATTTACCTGTTGGAGCTCATTTCAGAGCTTCTGTGTTATTCATCTTGAATTTCCAACCAGGCAATGTTGCATAAACCAGGTGTCTTGTACATATTTGTAAATTGTTATTGACTCTTAAATAAAGCTGTGGTACTAGTTTACCATGATATGTTGACTGAGGAAAATGAAACATTTAGAGAATAACCTACCAGTTCTTTTTCCGAAGCCGAAGGATGTTGGTTCTATTTTTGCACTGGGACATTTGAGTTAGAAGCTGTTAATAAAAAGGAAAAAACTGATAGCACAATGCGAGAATATTAACATACTGAATAGTATCTGCCTTTACTAATGCCAGTGGTTCTTTCTTGAGCTTTGATGTCCTAATGTCTTAAATTTAAGCATCTTACTGATTCCGCAGTTGTCTTTGTGTAAATATATGCAGTTTTGTGATTGTCCTCTCTCCCAGAGTTACCATGGCTACTGCAAAGTTTTCATCTTATTCGCCAACATTTCAAGGGTTCTCCCTAAGAACCAATTGTTTTTCTTATAAAAGTAGACTGTCTTCAAAAATAGGCCCCACATATGTCCGGAATGATGAATCAGAAGGTAAACTCTATAATGGGCAGCAGGTAACATCTTCCCCACCCTGCTATCCAAACTCCTCTGTAAATATACAAACAAAAATCCACCCACACACAAAGAGGGCATATTTCCTTATTTTCTGAAATGTACAAAATGTATGTCTCCCTTCTCAAAGTTACCATTTGAGAAAATTTCTAATGGGATTTTAAATACTTACTTTAGCATACTGAGCCTAGGTTATTGACATTTTCTTCCATAAAATATTTAAGCTTTGATCAAGACTCCCACAGTGAGCATTGTATATGCATTCTGTTCTCTTTATGGCTTAGTTGGTTAAAAAGTAGAAATGTTGATAAAATGTTACAAATATTGTAAAAGTGAAAAAAATCATGTCTCCACATGACCCCTCGCTACTGTTAAGTTTCATGTTTTCCTTTTAAGGGCTTTTGTCAAGCACATATGATATGTATATGTTGATCTAGAGCAAATATTTCCTGTAATTTATCACCTTAAAAAAAAAAAACATTATATTACTTAGAGCAGGACCAAGTGAAGTTGAGGACAGACATTAGTCATTCCTAAGACACAGATGGCAAACAGTCTTGGACCAACTCTCCTGTCATTGTCTCCATTTCTTGTCATTTTAAAATGGCGTTATCAGTGGTTCTTGATCATTGAAAATTTGAAACCAGTTTTCTAAGAATGGTACTAAAGGACAGTTGATTAAAAGGACACATCAATTGCTAACAGTCAATTTCTTTCCACAGGGCCATGTTGTGTCCAATAGTAGATCAAGAAATGGAGAAAATGGTGAATAGCAAAGCACTTACTGAATGTCTGCTATAAGTAGTTTAAGAACAAATGTGTGTCCATATTTTACCATCCGTAGAAATGAAAGATGTAAACACAACCCAATATTTCATAATGATCACTCTAATATGGTAGCATTTGGGATGTTTGTAAATATCACAGAAACAGATATAAGAGCCAGAATTCATGTTCAGAAACTAGTGAATCATGCAGGTCGATTCCAGATTTGTTGCTCTACAGCAAAGCACAATGGAGAACAAATTTTTTCAAAGATGTCACATAAATGAAGTATACTTGCATTTGTGTGGCACACTCTGAGGGGCACTGTGTGGAAATTTAACAAATAAATTCTCAAGAAGTTTATTATTTAATCAGTGAAAGGGAGCTCTTTTTCTAGTCTTTTTATAGTACCTTATTGTGTGCGTGCAGACACACAAATTTAAGCTCTGTAAAGCTTGCCAAAATGAGTATCAATTTCCTGTTTAAATATGATCTTTCTGGAATTTACAAAAATCTTGCATATTTTATACATTTGGCATCATTAATTTCTCCCAGGAAATTTCACAGAATATCATCAATGGTGTATTCCTCCCTCCTCCCACCCACTTTCCCCTGATTACTGGAAGTACATCGAATTCCCGAGAAGCACTCTTACTCAACGATACTTTGAGATTAATGAATCTCCTCCCAAACACATACCTGACCTAAGTGGGTAGCGACATGGAGGACTGAAGTTTCCTAGGCTAGCTCGTGCTGCAAACACAATCACAGTACCCACATGCCGAGACCTAAACAGTCGTGCTGCTCTCTCTGAATCCCCCCTCACTGTTTTCCCCATCGCTGCCCTACATTGAAGGCTTTGAGGACTCTGACTCTGAAATTGCCGCCTCCCTGTAGAGCCATTGGTTTGCTGGGTGTTTGAGTAACAGTCAGCGGTAGTTTCTGCTACCCAGAATTCTTTGGGTCACACCACTTTCGCGAAAAGTTTACTCTTTTCTCTCCATGATTCTACACCAGTAAATCTGCCGCTTTTTCTAGAAATTGGTAGAGGAGAACTAAATTTATTTCACTATCAAATTTTATCTTTTTCATTGAAGTGTACTTTTTCTGACTAAAGAATCTTTTCTAATTTCTATTGAGTTCTCCTTTCCCCAGGTAAATTTTTCTTTTCTCTACTAAATTTTCCTATCTAGTCTCACTTTCAGTTGTAGATTGGCCCCTCTTCCTTATATTCTTTCCTTTGCTACATTCTCTCCATCCTCACCCTTGCCCCTGAGAATGAAAGACTGAATTAATGAGCACTGTCTCAGCTTCCCTTACCAAACTTTCGAGATTAAGGATTACTTGTTGGAAGCCTCCTTCCACTAAACCCCTTCTTTCTACCATAACCATATTTAGTGACCCTTTTCTGCATTCACATAACAAGTAGTATATTGCCTCAGTGCCTATCAGAAAGCATGGTTCACAATAGATGCTCAATAAAAATTACAGAATTGTTCTGCAGAATTGGGTTCAAATTCCAACCATATCACACATTTAATGTCAGACTTTGTGCCAGTCTAGCAGACAGCTCTCTGCCTCACTTTGCTCACCTATAAAATAGGGGTAGTAAAATTAAAGGTAAAAGGAGAATGCCTGCCACCCAATAGACGTGAGAGAATAATAGTTTCCATTTCCCCTTGTTGACTGGCCTGTCCCTCTGGAGACATTGGAGATTGACTGAATGGGATGAAGGGCAAAGACAAAGTCAAATATGAATCCAGTAGTTCGAACTTGAGTGGATGGAGGAATGATGATATTGGTAACAGAAAACCTGGTCTACATAGAAAGATGATGTGATTTAGCATATTCTGTTTTAGATTCTGATACATTTTATCTTTTTAGCTATCAATGGGAGAAAATAAATGGAAAACAAACTGAATAGAACTAATCAAAGGTCAAAATGCCATTACTACAAAGAGTAACATAATGATATATGTCAAATATTAAAGTATATAATCATGTAAGTATCTCAGAGATTTTAAGTAATTCAAATTATGTAAGGAGGAAGTCAGAATGTATAATAGTATCTGTTTTTGAGATTATGATTTACTTTATTATTTTATTAAATAATGATTCTCTCTCCTTTAGTTGACATGGGCTTACCCATCATTTAAAAATGGTATTGCTCTTTTTGTGCTTTAATGGCATTGTACTTTGTGTACTTTGTATTCTCACATAGTTGAAAATAAAATTCTTCTATGAAATATTTTCCTGCAATTTTTTTCTTTTCTTTAAATAATTGGTTTTCCCTATAACAAAACAAAGTGTTATACTATCTTACAGCCTCACTGTTAGGAACGAAGAAAGAGGGGAAAATGCAGGAAGACCCACACATACCACAAAAATGGAGAGTATTCAAGTCCTAGAGGAATGGTGAGTGTGATTCACCCTACAGTTATGTCTTGTATTTATGTACTGTTTACATCCACTCAGTCTTTAAGTATTATCTCTTTCTTCTTGGTACTCTTCAAAATGGTTTTGTGAAATGAATGCATCCTCAATATGGGAGATCTTATTTTGTGATTCCAATTGCTTTTCCTAAGTTTTTCTACTAGCTACATTAAGCTATCAACTAAAACATTGCCTGAGTTTGTCTTTCTCTTTCAAACAATAATGGTTGTTACATGAATTAAGCCCCTCAAATTGCCCTAATCCTTTACTTCCCTTTTCTAAGAATATTTTTTTTAAGTTGTTCTCTTTATATGGGAAGAGTCTAAAACACACACAAAAAATATAGAATTACCTAAGTCAATCAGAAAAGGCACCCAGCTGTTCCCTTGTCCCATTTCCATCAGAACAGACTCTAACCAGGTATGTTCTCCAAAATGAGAAGTTGAAATGCAGTATCTACAGAATAAAATTAAAATACAAGTAGATTGTATGTATAATTACAGGTGCTTTCTTCTGCTGCTTCTTATGTTGATGCTTAATAGTAATTTTTCCACCTTTTAAAATCTTTTAAATGAATGAGGAAGTTCAGACACTTCAGAATAATAACAAATCTATTTAAAATACTTTGTCAAAAAGGTAAGAAAAAATAAAATGTAAGTACTTCAAATGTATTTTACATGGGAAAATTATTATAAATAGACCAATGAATAGGAAAGCAAGATCAAGATCAATTTAACCATAAGAATCTCCAAGCTTCTCTCTTCCACTTCTTTGATGCATAAGCAAAGGGAATGATAACTGATGGTTTCTGCAGGAAAGTAGTCACTGAAAACCTGACTATAGGTATTTAAAAAGTCCCCAGTGTCATTATAAAGGGCCTGTGCTTTTTAACTGTGATAACTCCATTCATGGGTAAACATTCATTCATATTTAATAGAATAATTATTAAAGTTTAGGAAAATATGTGACAAGTGCACTCATTGCATTCTTATTTTAGATCCAGTGACAAATGAAAAAATAGCCACCAGAGATGAAAAGATAAACTGTATCTTATGGCTTGAAAATTAAAATGTACATCAAATGCAAACAAAAAAATTCATTTTCTCTTCAAAGTAATGTATAGACTGTTTCTATCAACTAGCAATAGATTGTTAAGGTTTGAACATTTCCGAGCTTCATTTGGAATTTCTTATGACCATGTGCGTAGCGTGTATAGCCTCTTGCTATATGAACTCTTGGCTCCCTAACAGGCAGCTTGTATACGAATTTTTGTCAAGACTCAGAAATAACTAACCTCCTCGTGGCAGCTATTAGCCAGACTGAGTGGCAATGACCACTAGATGGCAGCACTTGAATAGCATTTCTATCTGCTCCTCCCCCTACCTGGGCTAGAGTTCAGAGGTCAAAGCTGCCTTTGATAATGGCCCCATTCTGTCTCTGCAGCCAAAACCCCACTACAGATGAAGTCTTGTCCTGGTCTCAAAATTTTGACAAGATGATGAAGGCCCCAGCAGGAAGGAACCTTTTCAGAGAGTTCCTCCGAACAGAATACAGTGAAGAGAACCTACTTTTCTGGCTTGCTTGTGAAGACCTAAAGAAAGAACAGAACAAAAAAGTCATTGAAGAAAAGGCTAGAATGATATATGAAGATTACATTTCTATCCTATCACCAAAAGAGGTAAAAATCGGGAAAATATTGATGTGGGCTTCCTAAGACCAATGATGAACCTAAAGGGACCTCTGTCCAAATTGGGTAATGCATGTGGTGCGGACGGGCTAGAAAGCTTCTCTGGGTAGATCATTTAGGTTCCATTCTGGGAATTCCTGCACACGTGTTTAAAGGCTGGTTTCCCTACTATGCTTTGATCGTTTATCACTGGCTGAATCATGCGGTGGTGTACTTGCTTTTCAGAACTCACATTAGGAAGCCTCTTAAATACAATTTGCTATGACTTAAACTAAAGTGGAGGAGAAGAATTTACTGTGAGGCAGTGTTTCTCAAAGTGTGATTCCCCAGATCACGTGTATGAGAATCACTTGGAGCTTCTGTTTGAAAAGCAAGTTCTTGAGGCCTACCCAGGACTTCTGAATCTGAATTTTTGGAAATAGAGGCCACTTATCTGCACTTTTAACAAGCTTTCAACACACATACTAGTTAGAAAACCCCTGGTATAAAGGTTCAAAAAAAACCCTGCCATGTTTGTTGATGCTTATGATAAATTTTTACAGAACTAAGGAATGGGCCTTTATGAATACTCTTGGGGGAGAGATGGGTAATGGCAATTATTTTCCTTATTCTAGTTTTCCTGTTATTCAAAGGGCAAGCTATTTTTCCCATTATGAGAATGTACCTAATAAATAAGGAACATTTCAAGAAACCAAATTAAGAATTTTCCATTAACTTTTTAAAAATTAATTTGCTCCTGAGGAATGTTCCAGCTACCAGCATTAAAAGCCTTTGGTGAGGCAGGGGTTCATAGTGTGCCCAGGCCTCTGGTGTACTGAGTGACAGAGTTCCAGGGGCGCTTCCAAGCATTTGAACTTAGAGGTTCCAAGAATGCCTTGTTTTCTCCACGCCACCCACTTTTTGTCTTTTCTGTTTCTCCTAAACCACTGTGATTTTCACCTGTGCATTTAAATGTCCTGCCCTGGTCCTTTCTGCTCTCACTTAGGCTCCACACCCCTCTCCAGTGCACAAGGACATTTATGTCTCTTGGAAATAGGCTGTGCTCATCTGTGCCTCATCCAACACTTGATGTGGCCCAGCTTGCCTTACACTCCATACCTTGAAATCTATAAAATGAATTAGTGTCTACTTTGTCAATCTCTGTGTCTGGAATGCTATATAAACTATTTCACTTCTAATGAAGTATATGTAAGTAATTAAAAAAAGTTATTAATTAGGTTATAAATGCCATTGGCATTCCAGAGAACTCCCGTAGTATTGTCTCTGAAAAAATGAGAAAGCTTGAATTGGATACACAAAAGGTTGTTTTATTTTTTTATTTCCTGAATTAACATAGAAAAAGTATTCATAGAAACAAGGTGGGGAGAATTTTTTCCGTAGCCTCAATACATTTATTACTGACGCCACTTTGTATTTCTAACTCCATTATAATTCTTCATCCTAAAAATACATTCTTCAGGTTTCTGGTCTATCTAGAACCTCAGCATCTAACCAGTTCTTCTTGGATTTTATTAGCGTATTAATTTCATTCTCATCTTTATTCTAATATTGCCTTATATGGCAAATATATCAAATGATCCAAATATGCCCAAAGGTGTTCTTATCTTGCCAGTAATTACACATAATTACAGTCTTTGAGGAGGTTATTTAGCCCATTTCTCTCCTCAAAATATAATATGTATCATCTTAAAGTGATAATTGTCTAGATTAGCTAGTCCATTCCTTTGTACTATCTATGTATCATCTTAAAATGAGGACTGTTCAATTTTTAAATAATGTTAGTAGAAAAAGTATTTTCCATGCTAAGTACACATAGATCCTTTAATTTACAGTCTTCATTTTCTAATTTTTAGTTTTTATGGGAAACAGTTTCCCATTGTCCTCACAGCTCCTGATTTTCAGGTGTCACTGATTGATGGAGCTTTGTAAAATAATTTTCACAAAACTACTTTCTTTGGGCCATAGTTTAGAGCTATTACAGTTATTGATTGTTGAAATATAGACTATTGGATTTTCATTCTTTTTGTGAAAGTAACAGAGTTTTATTTTAGCTTAATTTCTTTGCTTTGAACATGAGTTTCACCAAAAAGTCATTAAAATATTATTTTCTGATCAATAACACAACCTTTCTGAAATTCAGTAGACTAATATTTAGTGTAATAACCATATGTATTCCTGCCTTATTTTTCCTAATATCTACATTTGAGCCATTATCCACACTTTAATGTTCTCAAAATACTACAGAGAGAGAAAAACAGAGACAGAGGTGAAATTCAAATTTTTATCATTTTGCTACTTGTGTGCGACTTGTGAATAGCTCTTGACATAGAATCTAATTATTGGGCTGTATGAAGTGCCTTTGGTCAGCCAACGGATTGTTCTCCTGTCAATATAGTAACTATATTTGATTATTATTTAGCAGCAAAAACAAATAAACCAAAAGTAGGCATTTGCAATTATAAAAGATAATTGTTAACAGTTATATTTTAAGCCATGGTATAGATATATTTACTCTTGAACCATTTCAAATGACTTGACTGTCTAATACATTCACATTATGGCATGTACTTTCCCCTTTCCAAAGTATATCTCACTGAACTTTCTATGCAAAAACTTGTCATTTCCTAATCAGCCACACTACGTTACTAACTGTCCGATGATCCTGAGTTATCACCCTTCAAATTTTGCTTTCCAACACTGAGAGGACACATGTCACATCAGGAGAGCCCTGACTCTATAGTAGTAAGATCACTGAACGAAGATTCAGGTGCACCGGATTCTAGTCCTGGCTCTGCTTCAACCTTATTGTGTGGCCTGGGACAAATTAGTTCACTTCTCTGGGCCTCAGTATTCAAATGATTTGCTTACAAAAATAAAAATGAAAAGGGGCACAGAGAATAGTAAACCAAATCCAGAACGGCAGCTGTAAGGCTGTTGTGCTTTGCCGTCATCTTCTCTGCCAAATGACATGGCTAGTCGGTCATGATCCTCCTTACTGCTGTACCCAGATTCAACCTCAGAATCTCTCTCAACACAAAGCAGCCACTACAAACCAATTCGAGTTGGTATCTATTTCCCATTTAGGGGGCTAGATAATCTGGCCTTTCTACCTCTGAAATTCTATAACTGTTTCTATGAAGAATATTTTTAAACAACGTGAACATTGGAGTAATTGATAAAATGGTAATGACTAAATAGCAAAAAATTGTTCAGCTTTTATTCTTGACCAGGACCTCATTTTTCTTTCATTTTACCTTAATTTGATTGAGGTATCATGTTCCTCTTTGTTAAAGGTAGAGAAAGTCTACATTCTTAAAGTTATTCTTATGTACATAACTTATCTCCTTCATGAAGCCAGTGTGCTGAAAATTACGTTGCATTGTTTGTTTCAAGAGCATGTTTTATGCATTTTTGATAATTTGAGCATTATGTTGTAAAATAGGTGTTTGCAATCAGAAGGCAATATAGCTTCCATTTGTTTGGATAGCATACACACGTTTCAAGAGGGGAAAGGGCCAAATTTTAAATTTGAAAAAATCTAAAAACAAATAAAAACACAGCGTTTCTTTCGAAAAAGTAAATTTTTTTTTTGTGATGTCCTCAAAGAGGAAACAAATGGAGGTAATAATAAGGAATCTAAGATGAATGGTAGCCTTGCTGCACATAGCAGATGCTGGTGGCAGCTTATATTTATTAAATATTGAAAAGACAAACCCAGCAAAATAAGTAACTTTAATAAAATGTCTCTTTAAAAGCTATTATCAACTATAAACAGCATTGAACTATTGAACGAAGAAATAATTATAAATCCTACAACAATGTAAGACTTCTATCTGAGTTAAAGAAAACTATGTGTGTTCAGTTACCTACATATCTCCTTACTGATGGCATTGTCCTTGACCAGAGCTGTAATTCAGCCCCGCTTTACCATCTGTATGATACTAAGTGACTCGCTTCAGTGCTTTATGGCCTCAGCTTCCTCGCTTTGTAGAATGACGGCATGGAAAAAACTCTAAAACCCACTAAATCTATGACTTTTGGGCTCTGCCGCATGGTGATTTTCACAGTAGTGGGAATTGTTTGCTTCTTCTGGTTTCATTCTGAATTTCCAGTTGCTATCTGGGAGAAAAAGCAATAAATCTATTTAAGCACCAGAATTATCTAAAAATAATGCATATGTGATAGATATGTGGGTTCTGTGCGTGCATGTATTTGCCTCTTCAAGCAAAATTACATCAATTTAGCACTTTCAATGTTAAATTAGTTTTTCTAAATAGAGTTCATTCAACTGTTTTCCTAGATTCACTTCTTTGTGCATGCCTATTATCATTCAAAAAATATTTATTGAGTATTTCCTAGGTACATGGCTAGATGTTGGGGATATGATGGTGAACAAGAAAAACATTGGCCTATCCCTTACAGAGCTTACATTTTAGGAAGACAGACAAATCATGTCAAAAACAAATAACTAAAAATTGTGATACACATTACAATGGGGGTGGAGGTCAAATGATGTAGTTTAGAGTAGAGGTAGTTAGGTAAGGTCACTCTGAGAAGATAAAGTTCAAGTTGATACAAAATCTAAAGACACTGGTTTTAATCAAAAAGGTGTCATCATATGTATGATCAATTATTATTATTACTATGATTACTTTACATTGGGCTTAAACTTTGTTGTTGGCAAAATTTTCTTATATTATTATTACAATATGAATCTCACGGCAATCCTTTAGCCCCTAGGACAAATGGCACCATTTTACAGCAAACAAAACTGATTCTCAAAGAGTTAAACTGACTGTTCAAGGTCATTAGAATTAGATCTGATAGAGAAAGAATACAAGCCCAACGTCTTTTGATTCCAAATGTGGTACTCTTTCCACTACAATATGCTGATTAGTTGTTTCATTGCCTAGTATTTTCTTCATGACACTGCTATAGATTTCTATGAACCGAACTTTAGATGTTGAGACAAAATGAGAAATAGCAATCTTAGCCACATGCCTGAATTCTCTCTCAGACAAGCAAGGTAAACTTCCCCATCACTTAGCCCCTACCAAGAATGTGATTACTCCACTCTATCCTACCAATGATCTTTGCTCTAAGAAATATATTCCAACAATCAGTCTTATTTGCAACTTATAATTATTTTCAATAGAAATAATCAACACGAAATAATACAACTAAAAGTGCACATGGTAAAAATTTATTAAAACTGATAAGAGAATCAGATATTCTTTAGATCTATAAAATTTAACATGAGAAAACCAATTTAGTTAAAATTAAAAAGAACCTCTCCAGTGGCAGAAGGTATAATTGGTAAAATTTAATATGGACTTATAAAGGAAAAAGAAAAAATTAATCAGAATTTTACTTAGAAAAGAATCCTCATTAAAGCAACTTCAGTAAAATTAAAAATAAAATGGGAGAAAAAAACTTAATCATGATATGTAAAAGCTTGTTCAAGGAATTCACTTAAGGGAGGGGGTAGATGAGGGAAAAAGACTTTCAGCAGAAATCTATCGTTTGCAGTATCCTTCTGCCAGAAATGTCCACAGAGTTAAAATTTCCATTGCCTCTTGACGGCTAGAACAGAAAGGCAGGGTCCAAATTTAGTGTGTTCCTTTTCGGCAGTGTTCACCTATCTTAATGTTCTCCTCCACTGGATAGGAAATCTAGTAAGATTAAGCATGGTATATAACTCAGTTTAACCCAGGTTTTCCCAAGCCACACTAGCAAGATTTCTGTCTCCATGCTCCCCACTTTACCTCCACGCTCTTCTTGAACCTTTAGCTCCCATTACATCTTCCTCCCAACTAGTTCATGGAGTTGCCAGGGAATAGTTTTATGTTTGCAAGCCATTTTGCTTTTCTTCTTCCCTGTCTCCTACTCCCTGTGGGAATGAATGCTTCCAAGTTCACTGAGGCCTATCACAAAGTCACATATGCCTTTTTAAAGCTTCAGTCTCGACCTCTCAACACTGACAATGTTTCCAGCGCTCCTAAAACTGCCAGTTAAAGGCCACCAAATCTATTAGTCCTGTCTTGTCCCCTGTCTCTCAGTATTTTTTTTTCAACTCTTATTGCTGCACTGCCTCCCTCCCTTTCCCCCACCTAGATGTGAGTACATTGCCCAAGGATAGCTCTTGTCTTGTGCTACTCAACTTTCTCTTCCCTTAGGATGAGTTCTTTACAGGAAACTCCTCAGTCCCTCATGCATTGGACCCCAGATCAGATGGCCTTATGAGCCATCCAGTTGTGCCTGAATCCCAGGGTGACTCTTGCTCAGGCCCATGCTGGGATCCACCCCCACTAACTTGTATTATAGATGTTCCACAATCTGAAGCACAAAGATGCCACAAGATGAAACAATAGATTGTTATATCCATGGGGTTTATCCTTGTTCTTTGATCTCTCTACACTCCTTTTGACTGACCGACAGCCTTTTCAAACAAACAACCAGATACTAAGGTAAATATTTTATTTTTTAAATGGAAATAGCAAATTCGTTTTGTTACAGATTACTAAATGTTGAACGGTACTACTTTCTTTACTAGTAGATATTTCACTACTGTTTTTAATTTGCAAAAAAAAAAATTTAAGTTATGCAATGAGCACTCAAGACATTTAATGTCAAGTTATTTATTTCTCTGTCTTGAGATAACTAATATGATTCCAGCTACTGTTATATTTAATTATGCTATTATATAAGAAATAATTGACGTTCCTTATCACTAATCTAGCATTTCCTTCTCCATTGAAACAAAAAGTTCTCAAGTTTGAAAGTAAGAGCACTATTTACAAAAACAGTGGAATGTTTGGTAAGACTTCATCTTACCACAGCACCACATTTCAGAATAAATAAGATCAATCAGTTTAAACTCCAGTCTCAACATTTTCCTGTTGAGAAGAAACACAAACAGTATTTTTAAATAAAAAGCTTAGAAAAAAATTCTGTACTTTTTATTACTTTGCACTTGCTGATGACCTCATATAGCAATAACGCTGAGAATAAAACCTAAATGATCAATTTCCAAAACATCTTTATATATATGTATATGTAAGTTGGTCTAGCTAAACCACAGAGAGTTAGTCTCAATCACCATTTCCTGACAAATCCTCCCATAGCAACCATTACTGAGGCATATCAATCAACCCAATTCCACGTGGTCCATCAGGCTCAGGAACCTGGGGACACCAGATGGAATGTGAGTGGCTTCAGTCATTGAGACCGTTTCAGACTCCAGGCCTGGTCCAAACAGTGAGTGGGAAAAGAAGCCAGAACCAGAAAGGATTTTGCAAAATTTCTTATGACAGAAACATTTAGATATAAATATGAAAGGTTTGTGTAGACTTGAGTACATCATGAAACAGAAAATCATGGATCACAATGCCCTAGTCCTTGTTCAACAGTGAGGACTGAGGAAACCAATCAGGATTCAGTAACGCTTTGCCTCTTAGAGGGTTTTGCTAACATGTCATTTCAGGGCAGAGCTTAGTTCCGTCCCCCAAGCATGCCTTTATTGATATTTATTGATATTATTTATTCACTTCCCCTTCCAACATGTCCTACCAGTTCCAACAGGATTAACATTTAGTGAGGAAAAAAATAACTGAATCACTGGCAGAATTTAATTTCTTTACACTTCTCAGATAACACTGTATTGATTACTTTAATGGGTATTCCGAATCCCTACTTACATTTCTCCTTTCAAAGCCCCACTTCAAGCAGTTGTTCTGCTCAATCTTTAGTACCAAGATCCTGGGATGTATTCCTATAGAAGGACCATATATTTTCCTATGTCTTGCCAGGTAGACGTCAGACATCAAGAAAGCCCACTGTGCTTCTGCTCTAGAGGCCCTTCCACAATCCCGGTTTCCTACAGTAGGACTTGTCGGGATATGAAACTATCAGGAATCAACATTTGATACACATGTTAATTTTTGCCAGACAACTCCTCTGTGCTAGATTTTTACCTTGTTCCATCAAGAGAATCACCTCAGCAGTCACATAATAGGAGGAGGTAAATTTGTATTCTGGCTAGAGAATTCTCTGATGTCTCAACAATGAATGGAAATTGTCAAAAACTCCTGAGTGAATGCATAGAAAAGATAAATCCAAGTAACCCCACATATCTGTGAACTAAATTTCTGGTTTAAAAGACTAGTTGTTTTTGTTTGTTTGTTTAATTCAACTTTGAAGGAGAAAAATATGCAAGGTTATGTAGTCTTTGAAAAGATAACCTCAAGACTTTAGGTAGTTGGATTTACTTTTTGAGGTTTCTCTGAAATGTCACAAACCTATAGTTACTTAATTGAGATCTTTTGAAAAAATATTATTTAATGTATATGCTCTTATTTCTTTTTAGGTCAGTCTCGATTCTCGAGTTAGAGAGGTGATCAATAGAAATCTGTTGGATCCTAATCCTCACATGTATGAAGATGCCCAACTTCAGATATATACCTTAATGCACAGAGATTCTTTCCCAAGGTTTTTGAACTCTCAAATTTATAAGTCATTTGTTGAAAGTACTGCCAGCTCTACTTCTGAATCTTAATTTTCATTAAAACGAAAAATCATTTTGGAGGGCTGGGATGGGAAATGAAAGTAGTTAAATAACACCGCAAACTGAGTTCCTGGAGAACTACAGTTTAGCATTCCTCAGGCTACTGTGAAAATACAACCATATGGTCTTTGTCTCCATTTTTATCAAGGTTATCCATGGTTAAGTTTGGAGAAAATACCACATAAAACAATGAATTGCCAAATCGTTTGATTCAACACTCATTCTACTTGCAAGCGAACTGTATCTGTAGTCCTGTGAATGGTCTCCTAGTGTCTCTCCAGAGACTGCATGTGCAAAGTAAAAGTGCTTCATTCGCCACATAATTGTTGTAATATTTAATCCAATGGCATAACTTATATCTGTATTTAACGACTTTTGTGCAATATGGTCTTATAGAAATAATTGCCAAAAAATTGGCTGTGGTTTGCATTTTTAAATATAATCTAAGACAGAAAAAGCCAATTTTTACATTGTCACAATGGTATTCAACATGCTATATACTGTGTTTAGTACACTAATTTCGAAGCCAATATTTCTGTACCTGAAAAAAGAGCTATTTATCTCTGTTTGTTGGAAAATCCTAATGGGGATTCCTCTGGTTGTTCACTGCCAAAACTGTGGCATTTTCATTACAGAAAAGTTTGCTATGTAAAAAAATAAGAAGAAGAAAAGAGAAAAAAAAGCACAAAACAATTTGAAGATATTCTATCTCAATGACAAATCAAAGAGTGATATTGTTTTTAATTGTAATAGAAGAAAATGAATCTATGTATATATCACATGTCCAATACTGTAATTAATTTATTAAAGACTGGCTCTCCAGTTCTAAAATGGTTGTGTAAAGTATGTACTTTAGCGAGAAAAAAATAATAAGTTTGATAACTTAGTTTTGGAATATAAAGAAAGGATTTAATAAAGGAATGCCTACATGTAGCATCATAAAACATTTTGATGAACAGCATCTGTCCTGCGGCATATTTTCCTTGTATGTGAAATCCAATGAAAAGCTAAGTTTTTAACCAAGAAAAGTTTTATAAGGGTTATGAAGAAGATAATTCTCTACTTCAGACCTTAACTGTTTTCACATAGTATCTTAAGAATGATTTTATTTTAAAAATGTTGAAACCAAACAATTAATTCTCATCCATAATTGAAAGGCAGTACAGTGCTCAAATCTTCTAGCTGCCATATTATTTTTTATAAGTACCACTAAATCTTTAAGACAAAATGCTTGCCAGACATCGGCATGTATTTTTGACATTCAAGAAAACAGTATCCTATTGTGCGCACACGCACACACACACACACACACACAAAAGTCAGTGTCATATTTATATCAAGGTGTTACATTTGAATATTAATATCCCCTGGAGGCTATTTTTTTAATCTTAAACTTAATAAATATAATATTGAGTAATCTAAAATGAAAGTTTTAAAAATATTTATATCCACTGAGAATACTGGCCTTATATTAAGGATGATATTAAAATTATAGGTTTTCTTTGTCATTTTTTAACTACCTCTCATTTTTTTAATTTATTAAACATTTTAAAAAATTGGGGGGTTTTCTTTTTAAATTTTATTTTACTTGAAAAGTTGGCATTGTTTCTTTTTCCATAAACTTAAAACATTTCAAGAATTGTTTTTTTAAGTGAATTTGGTTTTCTAATTTATATAGAATTCAGGAGACATGATTAAAAGGGCTATTATCTATTCCCTATGCAAATATTTTAACTGTTTCAGTGTTTGACAAAATGGGATTTTAAAAAACAGTTTGCAGAGTAGAAAACAAAATGTTCTGTTTACACTGGCGTCGCTGACTATCCTACCGTATTCAGCACTTTTAAATACATTATTTATGAAAATGTAGTTAAAATGCAAAATAGAGAATATTTATAATCATTTCTTTTAACAAATGCCTGTTTTTGTCTGAAAGTGTTAGTGTGTTAAGACTTACTTTATCGTTGTCAATTAGATATTTACTATTTGAACAATAGTTTTCAGTAATATGTTGAAAAAAGATAGCTATGAAGATGTTTACAAAAAAGTCGTATTTTTTCCTAGAGTGAAGAAAAAGATAAAAGAATCATTTCTTTTGTGAAATTCTATTGTTCCTGAATTATTTAATTTTTCTTGATTAGAATTGAGTTTATTATGCTACTATGATGTATAGACATATATGTTCTAATATCATACTTGTTGCTGTGTTTGAGGCACAATAAATTGGTGCACTTGACTAGAAAATATGTAATATACTATGATACACTGCATGCATCGATCTTTTTAAATGTAGACTTTATATTCTTGTTGTTACTATACATGATGGTGACCTGCTAGTCATAAGTTATCTTTATAAGATACTTTGGACTATTAGATAAATTGTCTGTTTGACAATACCTTTAATATTTACCAAATGTAAAAGATAAGGGCCCTTATAAAGAGTCCTAATCTCTAATCTGGGCATTTGTAGAGTACAGATTTTGAAGTTAGTATATCCTTTTGAAACCTGATTAGGAAGTTGTGTTGAGAATGATTCTAGAGCAGATTTACAATCAGATGTTGGTAAAAATACTGTGTGAGCATTTCTGTGCTAAATTCCAATTTTGGGGGGAGGGGAGGGTCTCTCATTTAACAAAATGTTTAAAGTTTCTAAGAGTTATGTCTGTATATTTGCAACTCTAGCAATTTTTAAAGTATGGTATAAGTCCTTCTGTTTTAATTACAGAGCTATAATAAACAAACGAAAAAGCCCTCAACTGGTGTCTATGCTACGATTCCAAGAGCACAATATTTTTTTTGGTAGAATTTGATTTCTCCTAGTGAGTAAATTCCTCCCTGGGGAAAAATTAGCACTTTAAAAGGTACACTTTGTGGTTTAGAGTGCCAAGATATCTTTGTATATCCTTAGAAACTAATGCACACAGAAAGAGGCAAATGCTCTTTCTGTTGTGCCTAACTTCAGATATGTCTATAATGAAAAGAAAAGTAGAGGATCTAGATTATATAAAAATATATATAAAGAAATTGGAGAGCCAGATTTCTTCAGCAATCGATCTTGTACATAGATCACACTAATAATGGATGGATGACACTTCTTCTTTACTCTGGATAATTGTTACTATGTTACCCAAGGGTAAATGTCCTGACAGTGTTGCGGGCAGCTCTATGCACAGTAGGTGCAGTGGCATATGAACAACAATAGCAAAACATAATTTTGATATCAACATTATGAACAGCAAAAATCAAGACCATAATGTGGTCCCTTTTTTTTTAAATTTTAAAATATGTACATAGGATGACCAGTTCTGATATTTGGTCATGGTGCATGGGGTGTTTATTAGTTTCCTTTAATGCTGCCTAGGTTCTTACAGAATGAAATGTGTATCATATATTTACCTGATAGTTCAGTTTGCAAAAGGACTATAGAAATAGGTAAATAATGTTTATTTGTTAGGGGCAAAAATACATTTTCACCCCATTAAGCTGATTTAAAATAATACCTGATTCTTAATTTTGAATTTATCTATTTTTTCTATACACTTTTAACTTATATTGAAAGAATGTCATATTGTAATTGTTACAAATTACATTTGCAAAAAATACAATATGTCAGATGCTTTGAGGAAGAAATATACAAGGAAGAAATTTAAAATACAATCAGAAAATAAGAAAATAAGAACTCTTTTGAAAGCCACCTAAAATTTCTTAGATCAAAAGGCCTATAGATAGACCCCTATCAAACATGAATTTTGAAAACTTTGTGCTAGATACATTGACATATTATTTTGAAACATGGTAAAGATATTTCAAAAAATTTTCTCGCATGTGTATTTCTACTGACAGTTTATGACCCTAATTTTCAAAGTATATTTTGCTAACACTTATATTTGTGTGCTCTTTTCAGTTCTTTTTAAATTTCTGACCAATATAAAATGTTTGTTCTCCTGAGAAACCAGTGTTCAATCTGTAAAAATTTTAATTATTCCTCATGTGCTACAACTGCAAATATTTATAAGACTGATACCAAAAACTTTCTTAGATCTTCCCTGAAACACTCTTAACAGTATCCTTGTAACACACAACAGCACAGAGATTGATAAGTATTTTTTCCCAATACTATGCTTTTATTACTAATTTGATTTCAAGTTACATTTCTGTCTGGTGTGACTTTGGACAAAACATTTATCCTCTCTGAGCCTGTTTCCCCATCTTCAGATGAGGAATATAATACTTAATTTACAGGATGACCATGGGAATTAAATATAAACATGGAAAGAGAAAAGTGTTACATATAACATTATTTTATCAAAGTTCTCCAGCTCAATAATTCCCATTTTTCAAGAATGTATGTATTAAATGCCATTTTAATGCACTTTTCCCCTATTTTTTAAACCATACTTTAAAAATCTTATTTAATTATTCATCCAAAAAAATACAACCAAACATTTTAGGATGTAGGACTACATAATATGTTATTGCTTTGTTCAATAATATGATTAAAAATCATTGTTTTCAGTTCACCAACATCACACTGAATCTACAATCAAGAAATATGTTTCTTTCAAGGACATATACACACACACATAGATAGATACATGTAGATCGTGTATGTGTGTGTATGTATAATATTGTAGATTTAAATCAAAGTTTAAATAAGAGATCATTTGAAAATTTTATTTCCGAAGGAAATAAAACATCATTCCTAAAGACAGGAAGAATATAAATATCAGCAATTTTCCAAATAAATACAGTCATGCATTGCTTAATGACAGGGATACCTTCTGAGAAATGTATCATTAGGCAATTTTGTCAATGTATGAACATCACAGAGTGTACTTACACAAACCGAGATGGTATAGCATACTACACACCTAGGAACCACCATCATATATGCGGTCCATTGTTGACTGAAATGTCATTATGTGGCTCATGACTATGTGGGAGGTAGAGCTAAAACTAAGTTATAAGAGATTGACCACTAGAAAACATTGATATTGGCATGGAATAAAAAGCACTCTTTTTAATGTTAGGGTGGTATAATTTTTAAAATAACTTTACTATTAAAATTAAAGGTGATTGTGTATTCACAAAATTTTTCATTAAACTTTTAATTTTAGAATAGTTTTAGATTTACAGAAAAATTGCAAAGATAGTACAGAGAGGTTCCCTATGCCCCACACCCGCGAGGCGTTTGTCACAGTTAATGGAGAGTACTGATGCGTTATTGAGTCTGCACCTTATTCAGATCCCCTCAGCTGTTACCTGTCCTTGTTCTGTTCCAGGATCCCATTCAAGATATCGCATCACATTTAGTCGTCCTCTCTCCTTAGGCTCCTCTTAGCTGTGACAGTTTCTCAAACTTTTCTTACTTTTGATGACCTTGACAGTACTGAGCAGTACTGGTCCGGTATTTTTTAAAATGTCTCTCAATTTGAATTTTTCTAATGTTTTTCCCATGATTAGACAGGTGTTATCAGTTTTTGGAAGGAAGACCACAGAAGTAAAGTGCCGTTCATATCACATGATAGCTAAGGTACATACCATCCCCATGACCTATCACTATTGAGGTTGACCTTGATTACCAGGCTGAGGTAGTTTGTTTGGTTTCTCTACTGTAAAGTAATTCATTTTTTAAAAGGTTACCTTGGAGGTAAATTTACTGGACATTTACACTGAGCTAAAAATATTCTGAACAGATTCCTCAGTACGGCTGTCACGTTCCATTAAATGACTGCTAACAAATACTATGAAGAAAATACAATGAACTAGAAAGTGAAATGGAAAAATAAAACTCAAAACAGTGTTAGCTTGAATATTCACTTAATGGAGGTGAAGGTGAATTTTTTCCTTTGAACTACCTGTATAATTACCTTAATCTACATCTCTTGGGTAGTAAAGATTTTAGCTGACCAACCGTCATAAGAGGTAATTTAAACTGATAATCATTTTGCTGAGTGCTTTTTCATATTGCTCTCCACTGAACAATGAACACTGAGTATTGAAATAAGGTAGAAGACTTGATTTTTTCCCCCTTCCTTTAACCTATTTGTCATAAATACAATGTTTCTTGTATATGATTTTAATATGTTTGCTAAATATTAAAAATAATTTCAATGTGTTTCATTCTGTAAAATTTATTATAGTGAATGTGTGTAATTTTTACTACCATGTTCATTGTACTTAACAATCTATATCCATATTTTGGACTCCACCAATATTTATTAGTGGACCATAAAGAAGTTTTGAATGCATGAACACTATTTAGAAGACACCTGCTTGGTTATTTTGAAATGCCAGAATAACTGTAGGTATTTATAAATTGGATAATACAGATTATTTTTCCTCCAATTTAAGTTGTTTTGGGTTTTTATTCCCCCTTCCTTGAATCTATTTATCATTTTACCTATGTACAATAGACTTCTTGAAAATGCTAGAATTTGAGCATGACAATTATGTAAGAAAAGTCAGAAGTCCTTTGAGTTTTCAAAGTAAATCAAACTAAAGCTGTTTTCATTTGACTATATTGTGGAAACCTATGGATATCATTGTAAAATGCACATACATTACACTGACTTTCTAAAAATGTTTTGAATTAATAAAGAATTCACCAATGTATCCTTAGACAAGTTACTGTTTCTTCATTGGTGTAACACTATAGGAGTAAAAGGTACATTTATTTAAATTGCTTATACATCTGAGGAAAAATAATTTCCAGCTAAATTCTTTACATTGTTCTATAAGGTTACTGCTTATAACATTTTTGCATCTTTTATAAATAATAAAGTATATTCTTGAAATGACTTGTTTTGAGAATTCAGCTGAGAGATTTATCATGTTGAGTTCAAATGACTCCACCATTTCTATGGTTAAAAAAAATTCAAAGTTCGCTTTAGACTTGGGAAGTAACTGTTCCTAACAGATTTAAATAACCTGATCAGTCCTGTTCTAGACTCGGATCAGAATTAAAGTAAAATGGGTTTTACCATTTTTACCACCATCTGAAAGCAGAACAATTTTATAATGTAGTGTGGCTTGAATGCACATTCAAACTGAAATGAAGAATTGAGGTAACCAATTGGAGCTTTTAAGGAGCAAAACCTATTGTTGCTTTATATTATTTGGAGTCATCTCATTCTTCCACTTCACTTTGTATTTGTATGTAGAACTAAGGAATGAATAGAAACAATGCAAACTCATTTTCTAAGAATTTTATACTTAACCTCAGTAGTTTTGATTACATGACTTAAGGATGACAACCTTGTCAAGGGCTCCCATATTTTACCATTAAATTTTTTTTTTAACGAATAAATTACAATCTTTTTCAGTACTTGAGTTGTCTCAACAGTTGAAAACACCACTTAACGGACTCTGCTCAAACCAGTTAGCCGTGGGAGTTCCCAGATTCAGTGTTGAGCCCTTGCATCCCCACGCCTGTCTTGGTTCTTTTTATTCCTTCATATCCATTCCTCTGGCGGGCTGTGAAAAGGTCTTTTGAAAAATGCAAAGCATTACACCAATAAACTGCAGGATTCCCGGCACCAATTCGCATCTGAAGTCTTCCGGGGAGGGCTGGGGGTTGGGCTACCGGAGGCGAGGCTCTGAAGGCTTCGCGGCGCTGTGGTTTGTTGCAACACGGAATCACTCGACCTCTTTAAAAAGCAACCAACATAAAGGAGTAAGTGAGAATGGACGGGCAGGAGATTCGGAGAGGAAGCCATTTGAAAGCAAGTAAGTTACATGGCAGATAAAGGGCAGGAAAGCAGTCTGTGCGAAATCATTCCGTGGTTGCCTACGAGTACACCTGTCAAGTCCTCATGAACACGAGCCTTACCCACCGTCGAAAAGAGAAACACGAGCAGGACGAGAGGAAGAGGAGTAAACACACACACACACACACTGCTGCCCATCAGGCAGTTGGCTCTTGGGGACGAAAGGCCTGGCTGGCACTGGAGAGGACGTCTGTGGCTGCGACCTCAGCCCCTGTGCGGACACTAGGTACTTGAAATCCTCGTTCAGCGCTTGGGAAGCAAATCGACAGAAGAAAACGGAGAGGCAACCTGCCGCTTTCCCCTTCCTGCCCCACACACCACCCCCACACGTTGGATGAGGCTTTCCCGACTGAGCGCTTCGAGGGAGTGCCGAAGACCTCCCGGACCCGCCCCTATCGCTTTCAGCCCTGCCCCCTCAACTTCCGGCCTCCGCGAAGAACACTACGTTTAAATGCCTGGCCGGAAGTTACCCCCGAGGCTTCCGGGAGGCCCTTTAAAAGCGGCGCGTGCGCGGGGCGGGGCCCGGTCAGCCCTCTCCCCTTTCCCCAAAATCCGCGCGGTGTCGCGAGACTTTATCTTTCCAAAACTTCCGGCGCTGGTCGGCCTCGGAGGTCGCGGATTAGCGATGCGGTCCAGGCTTCTGTTGAGCGCTGCTCGATGTCTTTGGGCCCGCCGGGCTGCATGCCCGGCCCGCCGGCACCGAAGCTGCGGCGGCGCGCTGCTCGAGGAGCTGTTCGCCCGCGGCGGGCCCTTGCGGACCTTCCTCGAGCGCCAGGCAGGGGCTGAAGCCCAGTTGCAGGCCAGGGGGCCTGAGCTGGTGGCGGTGGCCAGACTGCTGAGCGAGAAGGAGCAGGAGCTGCGGGAGACCGAGCACTTGCTGCATGGTAAGGGCCGGGCGCGGGGGACCGGGATTCTAAGCAGTCTTCGTTTGCCTTTTCCGCTGAGCCGGTGGTCAGATGTCTGCGCTCTCCCCGAGTTTGAAGCTCTTTACTCCCATTGCAGCCCATTTTGGTTTGAATCAGAGATCAAGGCATCATGTGCGTTCTGATCTCCTCCTGTCCTGTTTGAGCCCTCGTGCTCCCGTGACAGTGCCCCGCCCCCTTTTACAGAACTTATGTTGACGTTTATTGGCTGTGTACTCTCACAGAAGATCCTGAGCTCGCCAGACAAATAAGGCAGCTTCCCTATTGTCGACTCCAGAGTAGTGTTTCTCAAAGTGTGGTAAGAGGACCACCTGCAACAGTGTCAGGAGAGGGGCGTGCTAACACTATGACTCAGAATCTGAGACCTAGAAAAAGGCGTTTTTGACAAGTTTCCCAAGTGATTAGTGTGCATTCTAATTTATATGGGGTCTAAGTTTCTACATTTCCACAAGCTCTCAGAGATGCCGAGCTGCTAGTCCATGGCCCACACTTTGGGTAGCAAGGCCCCAGAAAAAGTCAGTCTATTCGGGGAGAGAGAATTTATTATAATAGAGCTGAAAAGTGAGAACAGATATCTGAATAAAGACCCAGGACAGGGAGGAGAACTTGTTGGGAAGGCCTTGTGCAGGGATAAAGGCCAGCCTTAGAGGATACATTTATAGTGTAACCTTTACTGAACCTTCACCATACTCCAGGCCTTGCTTAGCTTGCTTTATGTATTGTCATCCAGTTCACATAACAAACTATGAGGTAGGTACTGTTAGCCTCATGCAACAGAAAAGGAACCTGAGGCCTAGAGGGAAAATAACTGGGCTCAGGTTACACAGCTTTTAAAGAATGGAGTTTGAATTGGACTGACTCCAAATCTCATGCTCTTAATCCCTGTACTCTGGTACCCAAGGGAGAGAAGAGGTTATCCAGAGTGGCAAGATGGAACATTTTATAAGGGGAGGGGTGTCAAATACTCATCTAAAAAGGTTTATTTTATCCTCTGGGCCGAAGGGATCCAGCAGAAGCTTTTAGAATGAGGAGTGGATTATAAAAATAGCTTCGTTGCTTAGGAATCTTGATCTGTGGTAGTTTAGAACTAGTCAACCTGGAATGAGATTGAAAATGCCATGGAAAACAGTTAGAAGGTTAATGCAGTAATCTGGGTGAGAGTTAAGGAGAGTGTAAATTAAATAACTTAAGAGAAAAGGCAGATACCCAGAGTGCAAAAAAAAGATTAATTAAGGGTATTGGGAAAAATATCTTTTGGGGAAAAATTAAACTGGTTTCATAGGTTAAGCCGAGCTTAAACTCCAAGTGGATTTAAGGGTTAAATATTTTAAAAATCAGACTATACAGAAGTAAACAGAATGTTAGAAAATTGTTGCTGGCAGAATGCATCTCAGCTTACAAACAATTATCATTCAGAGCTTTGCATGACAAAAAACCTGGATTTGTTCCTAAAGACTACGGGAAATTAGCACATATTTTTAAGCAGAGAAGTGACATCTTTTTAAAGCAAGATTAATATTGGCATCAGTGTTGAGGATGAACTGGAGTATTCTCCAGGCACCCTGGAGGCTGAAAAGCCAATGAGGAGGCTATTGAAACAGACCTTGTGGGAATGGGCCTGACTCTCAAGACTTTCTGAGTAACAACAGTCAGGATTTGGTGGCTTATGGCCTGAAAAGGGTGAAAGAGATACAGAATTCTAAGAAAAGTCTTAGGCTTCTGGCTTCAGAGCATGAGTGGTACTGTTAATTAAGATGAGGATAGAAAAGATGGATCAAGTTTAGGAAAAAGATGAGTTTTGTACTGAACAGACATAGCAGGCTAGAAGTACCTACAAGGACATTCAGATGAGGATGTTCAGATAAAGATACTGATCTAGGGGGAAAAAACTACCGGCGTAGGAAAAGAATTGAGCCAGAAAAATCATAGGAGAATTCATGTCAACATATAGTTGATAAAGTAAACTTTGGAAGTAGATTCAAATACTCAGGAAGAATTTGTAGAGATAGAAACAAGATACTAACAAAGCCAGAAATACACAGTATGAGGCAGAGGAGGAAGCTATAAAAGATCCAGAAAGAACAGGCAGAGCTTCCAGACCTTGAACAAGATAAATGAAGCTGTCAAAACCAGTGAAAGAAAATTTCAAGTAAGGGATTGTTGATCCCTGACTTAGAAAGGGCTCACTTTTCAGCTCCCAATGAGATAGTCTTTACTTTTGGCAGTTTTGTCAGAGGTGATTTTAATAAAAATGGTATTATTAATATAATTATGGAATCCAGTGTAACAACTTGAGAAGTAAATGAGAATTAACAAAAGAGAAATAATAAACATGGCATTTAATCTCCCGGAGTTTGGATGGGAAAAGGGAGGGTGACAATAAGTCAATAAGTGGTTTGAAAGGTTGAAGAGAAAAGGACCCTTTTACCATGGTGAAAACAGAAATATCTTTTAGGCAGAGAAGAAAGAAAAGGCAGGCATGTGGTAGATGCCCAGTAAACATATGTTAATTAGTAATATTGAAGGAGAAATTAAAGAACAAGTGTATTTCTATTGCCTAGGAATAACTCCTCAGTCGGAATCCTCTAGAGCTTCCTGTCCAGTACAGTAGCCATGAGCTACACGTGGCTAATGAGCACCTGTAATGTGGCTTGTCTGAATTGAGATGTGCTGCAAGTGTAAAACACCTTTCAGATTTCAAAGACATACACAAATTTAATATTTTTTGATTACACATTGAAATGATATTGGGGTATACTGGGTTAAATAAAATATAGTATTAAAATTAAATTACTGCTAGACTTCAGTTCCAATCTCGTTAGCTTTCAGAACACTGCATTTCAGAACTGAAAGGCATCTCGGATCATCCAGCTCAGATCTTTCATTTCACTCTTGTGATAACTGAGACTCAGAGAAGTTGGGTGTGTTGCTGTAAGAGAATCTTAGTGACTGAGATACAGCTAGAATTCATTTTTCCTTTTCCTAATTCAACACATTTTCCATTTCACCAAATTTCTTCCATACCAAATTCTTGCCACAATAATTTGCTGCCTTTCCACCAACACTTCCTTTACTTGCTAATCTCAATTTTGCTGCTGTCGTTCTCCTTCCTTGAGTTAAATTCCTTCATTCCTCTTTCTGTCCATCCCAAAAATAAACACACAAAAATCCTTCAGTGTGCTATTTAATCACATAGTGTTTTAGGCTGTTATTCCTTGTGAGTTTTTCTCCCCTAGAAAAAAACAAAGAAACTAAAATTATCTAAAATCCTGCCTTGAGGGTAGGTCTTACATATTGTTATCCCCAGTTCCTAGCATAGTTGGTTCTTAATAAATGAATAAATGTACAACTTGATACGTTGTAAAGTTTGATCTTTCAACCAGAGAGAACAATTTCTAATAGCTAAAAAAATTTCCCCTTCTCTCCTTTCTGTAGGCTGCATGTTGTCCATAGGATAGAGGAATGAGGAAGAATAATTTGTAAGGTAAAAATGAAAACTCAAAGATGAAGTAAGAATTAGGTGAAGTCTGAGACCAGTACTTTGTAAACATTAGGCAGAGTTTAAATGTTTGGGTGGATACTTATTTTATAGTATGAAAATTTACTAATAAGAGAATAAATAACTTTCTATTTTTTAATTCAGTTTAACTCGTGGAACCTTCTGACTAGCTCCCTGCATTCACTGTTATTGTACAGTCTAAGTTGGAAAACTAAAAGCTTATTTTTTCATATGAATATTTCATGGAGGTAGAATTATAGAAAAATTTAATAGTTTATACTTTTCCATAGATACTTTTTTATTTTTAAATTTACTTATACTTTCTTCTGTCATCAGGAAAACAGTTTTGTTTTTTTAAAGCTACTTGCTTATGAAAACTAATGCATAAAATGCTACTTTCAATTAATGGCACTTATTAAAAGGACAAGAAAGACATTTTATTTTTCTCTTCAGCTACAATAACAAAACAATTGACCTTGAATTCTGTTGGCAGTTTAACACTAATTAAGGAAAACAATCTACTACCTTTTTTTCTTAGATGAAAATGAAGACTTAAGGAAACTTGCAGAGAATGAAATAACTTTGTGTCAAAAAGAAATAACTCAGTTGAAGCATCAGGTATGGTATTTGTGCAAAGAATAAACATTTGTGCTCTTTTAAGTTTATAAAAACAACTCAAGAACTAACCAGCTTGTTAGTATTTAGAATTATAAACTGTTAAAGCAAGAAAAGCATACTCCACGTGGTCCTATTTTTATCGTAATAAAAGGATTGTAGAGTTCTGAAAAAAAGATGAATGTCACATTAATAAGATTTTCTGGAAAGGCAATAAAATAGTGGTATTATATTTGCCCCTTTTGGTTTTTTAAGAGAGGTGAGGGTGGGTGTAGATGATGAGAAGAGGTCATGGAATGATGGTAGGCTGTGAGCTCCCTGGGAGCAGGAATATTTCTTTATCCTTGTGTCTCCGGCACTAGTAGAATGCCAGACACAGCTGGCTCTTGGGACTTTTAGAACTGAATTATTTTGCTTTGGTTTTATATCTAGGAGAACTGCAGGAGAACACATAGGAATTAGATGAGAAGGACATGTATTAAAGGTTTCTGTTCATTGGCTAGTAATAGACAAACAGATGTAAATTGTATCATTTGTTAGTTCAAGATTTGAATGATTATGTTGCATTGGCATAGGCTAGAGATGGAAAAGCAGTAGCAACTGTAGGTCCTGACCAACAAAAAAGTGTGATACTTCAGAATTCAGGGAGATTTGGGTTCAAATTCTACCTCTTAACACTTTCTAGCTGTTTGATACGGGGCAACTAGATTACTCAACTAAACAAACTTAGTTTTCACATCTTAAGGTAAGCTGTTAATAGTACCTACCCAAGATTGTTTTAAGAATTAAAGTATGTACAGTGTTTAGCAGGATGCCTGTCATATCTTAAAGAACCAATAAATATTGGTAGCTTTTCTTGTTTAATTCACCTAATCTAAGAAGCTTTTATTCTATAACCCCTTAATTAGTACATACTGAAGTGTGAAACATTATTGTAATGGAAGGAAGACATCTACGCACAAGGATTTGAGTCCTTATGTCTGCTCTGCCAATAACCAACACTTTCCCCAAGTCAGTTAACCTCTGCTGACCTCATTTTCCTTCATATGTGAAATGAGGGAATTGGATTCCATCATCTCAAATGGCCTTTCCAGTTCCAAAATTGGAAGTATCTCTTCCATATTTGAAGAAGCTTAAAAAAAATACCAATGTAATTTGAGTGCTTTTTCCCCTGCCATACTAGGCTGTAAATTTCAAAAGGATAGAGTTAGAATCTTCTTTTGCATTCTACACACAACAGAATGTCTTTCTCACAGCAAGCACTTAATTATTAACTGAATAGAGAACCGATTTAAAGTCTATATGAACACCAAAAAGAAATAAAAACAAACCTGTAAATTTTAGCTGGACCGTATAGCATTTGTAATATAATGGTAACATTAATATTTTTTAGATGTTATGCACTATACAGTTCTAATTGGCAAGATAGTTGAATAGTAATCAACAATATTAAATTATTTGCTTAGAGAAACTTGAAATGTTTAAAATTCTGCATCTAATCATTTAGCTTTTTTTTTTAAGTTTTAAATAATTCTTAATTATAGGATGAGCAATGTTTTTGTATTTACAGATTATCTTACTTTTGGTTCCCTCAGAAGAAACCAATGAAAATGATTTGATCCTGGAGGTAACTGCAGGAGTTGGTGGTCAGGAGGCAATGTTGTTTACTTCAGAGATATTTGATATGTATCAGCGATATGCTGCATTTAAAAGATGGCATTTTGAAACCCTGGAATATTTTCCAAGTGAAATAGGTCAGTAAACTGTTTAATTTGTTTCGGGAGAAGGGTAGATTTATCTACATGTGTCGTAGGAAAAAGGGTTGGAAAGACCACGACTAGGTTTTAGAATTTATTTGTAAGGATGCTTAAGTAATTTTATGCTCATTCATGTCCTTAATTATTTTGAGTGCAAATACATCAATTTTGAAATAGCCTATAAAATATGTCAGGCACTACTAACCATTGAATGACAAATGGTCTTTTAAAAGTGGTCTTTTAGACGTATTATTGAATCAGTTCATTATCACCATAAATACTTTGTTTAATAATTATAAACGGGGGGCCAGTCCTCTGGCCGAGTGGTTAAGTTCGAGAGCTCTGCCTTTGGTGGCCCAGGGTTTCACCAGTTCAGATCCTGGGCGCCGACATGGCACCGCTCGTCAGGCCACATTGAGGTGGCGTCCCACATGCCACAACTAGAAGGACCCACAACTAAAAATATACAACTATGTACTGGGGGGACTGGGGGAGAAAAAGCAGGGGAAAAAAAAAGGAAGATTGACAACAGTTGTTAGCTCAGGTGCCAATCTTTAAAAAAATACTAATAATTATAAACAAGATATTAAGTATTAGAACACTGAATATCATAGACTTAATAAAGTCTTTCAGTATGTTTTACAATCTATATGCTTATATTCTTTTGTAGCTCTTTTAAATATATTTCAAGATGATAGAAGTGATGGTCAGGTGTTTATAAATGGCAAGAATAATAAAAGAATTCTGTTTCCCAATATTTTCAAGGTGGCCTTAGACATGCGTCGGCCAGCATTGGGGGGTCAGAAGCCTATAAGCACATGAAATTTGAAGGAGGTGTACACAGAGTACAGAGAGTGCCAAAGACAGAGAAGCAAGGCCGCATCCACACCAGCACCATGACAGTAGCCATATTACCCCAACCTACTGAGGTGAGGCTGTCCCCTCTCCTTGGAATCCTTGGCCTAGCACAGTGCCTTGTCCCAGAGTAACACTCACTTCACTGAACTGAGTGTCTTCTTTTTTATCATTTGGCCTTCATCACATATTTTGAGTTGCTTTTAAGAATCTATTATAATCTCAGTCCAAAAGGTATGATTTTACAATAGATGGTAAGAATTAAGGATGTATAAATGATCTCATCTGGCATTGTCTATTTATTAATTTTTCTCCACCACTAAGCTTAAAGTAATTATTTTGAGTTACTTCCTGTGAGTGGTTCCCAGAGTATTAATAGCAAGCAAGAATCCTGTTTTAACAACAATCCTACCTAACAGAATTGCTACTTCATAACATAATCACGTTGAAATGGAATTATATTGTTGATAATGAATATACTTTATTCCCACAAAGCAAATTCTCAGCCTATATAATATTCATAAAATAACTTAGTTGAGAAGTTCTGTTTTGTTTACATCCCTTCTGCTGAAAAGTGTTAGGAAATATGTGACTTGTTTTTCAGGATGAAATATAAATGATGTGAGAAGGAAGTTTAATTGAGAGTTTCTGTTTATCAACACGCAGGGAAGTGCTATTTGACTCTCTAACAGAGTTAATGGAGTTCCCTTTTCTTTTTTTTGTTTTTTCAGTGAGGAAGATTGGCTGTGAGCTAACATCTATTGCCAACCTTCCTCTTTTTGCTTCAGGAAGATTGTTGCCGAGCTAACATGTGTGCCAATCTTCCTCTACTTTGTATGTGGGATGCCACTACAGCATGGCTTGATGAGCAGTGTGTAGGTCCACCCACGATCTGAACCCATGAACCCTGGATCACTGAAGCGAAGCATGCGAACTTAACCACTATGCCACCAGACCTGCCCCTGGAGTTTCTTTACATCTAATTATTGTGTGAAACCTAGATGAGGAACAGAACAGTTAAGGGAGAGAGTGAAGTAGAATAAATGGCAGGAGCCATGCCTAGATACTAGTCACCTTGGTTTAAGCATCTTGGAGATGGAAGGAGTTTTCAGGAAGAGATGGAGACTGAGGTCCATGTATCATCTCATTTAATTCTTTTAGCAACTGTAAAAAGGAGCCATATAGGGAGACATGGAGGGCCTGTGAATGGTAGGATTCCTACTGGCCAGGGCTGTGGACATGTCACAGAGTGGTCCATAGTTCACGAGACAGAGCTTTTCAGATTTAGTGCTTTTGATGGTGACTCCCAGGACAGAGCATTATACTGATGTCAGATCCCAGTGCATTTATGAACTTAGTCTTTACTCTTGACTTCATGGCTTTACCATTTCCATTTGTTTTCCCTCTGCCTCCAGATATGTTTATGTCTTCCTTTATTTAAAATTAAAATAAGCCCTTCTGATAGTTCTTAAGGTAGCATTTCTTCTTCTGCTAAAGTCTTTTTTAACTCAGAAATATTCCACAAAATCTTATTTTAGCTCTTAGATTCACATTTCCAATAGCTAAGTTCTGTTCATGTAGCAAGAAGAGAGTAATTTACAGACAAGTCCAGTTTTGGAGGATTAGGGAAGGTTTGTTTTTGATTTGTATTATATTTTGATCTTCTTCCAAACTCTTCCAAAAAGAAAAGTTTAAAAAATTGTACGCTGGGGTCAGCCTGGTTGTGTATTGGTTAAGTTCGCACACTTTGCTTCAGCAACCTGCAGTTCACAGGTTTGGATCCCAGGCACAGACCTACACACCAGTCATCAAACCATGCTGTGGTGGCATCCCACGTATAAATTAGAGGAAGACTGACACAGATGTTAGCTCAGGGACAATCTTCCTCGAGCAGAAAGAGGAAGATTGGCAACAGGTGTTAGCTCAGGGACAATCTTTGTCACCAAACAAAAAAAAGAAAAAATGGTATGCTTCCAACTATTTTCTATTCTTAAAATTAAACCTTGTGAATCTTATATAAATTCTACACCTGACATGTATTTATAAACGGATAGTTCTTCCCTTTGAAGAGTTCATACGTGTAATATTTTTAAATCCTAACTTTTCCTCTTATATATAGATTAATCTGGTAATTAATCCTAAAGATTTGAGAATCGATACTAAGCGAGCCAGTGGAGCTGGGGGGCAGCACGTAAATACCACGGACAGTGCTGTCCGGATAGTTCATCTTCCAACAGGTATGCACTTATTTCTCCAACATAAAACATTGAAGAAAGAAATCAAATGCTGAACGACTTGTCTAATTTTCTACTGAAATAGATCCTCAATTACCAGAAGAATACGTACTATTAAGGATTGTTGTTAAATACTTGATTTAAAATTCTTAGCTGAAACCCTCCAGGATAACTGGAAAGCCAGGAAGACAGAGGGGTCCAAGCCCAGGGAATTTCCGTATTAGTGACCATGAAGAGAAGGTGTGGATAGTCCTTCCAGGTAGCTTTCTGAAGTTTATACTTAGTAAATATCTCTATTAAAAAAAATCCTCACAGTGAAGTCATTGACATGGGTTCTTCATTAATCAGAAAATGCTCTAAATCACTAGTTCTCAGTCTTTTTTGAAGGGAGGAGGACATGGACTCCTTTCAGAAAGTGAAAGCTTGGACCCACTACCCAGAAACATACTTAGATGCAAAGTTTTGCATATAATTTCAGGGGCTTCTTTCCAGTAAGTCCCTGCAGATCTCCGGGGGTTCTGATTCTAGATAGGGCAATGAAGCTATGTCTAAATACTTCTTAAGCCTTCAGTATACTATTAGGTAGAACTAAATGCGTTTTATAAGTATTACTGCAGTGATTTACGGGTGATAAAGAGCATATGGAAGCAAATCTCAGTTATCTAGGAAAAAAACAAGAATCTCTTACCACGACCTATCTCAAATAGGCCTAATTCCTATCAGTCAGTAATGGTTGATGGGAGGGAGTGATAAGTTTTGTTGTTTTTTTTTAATATGAGGAAATCTTCATGTTAAACTTTAAGATAATGTGTTACATAATATTACGTTAACAGGAATAGAAAAAAATGGATAGAAATCCTCAAAAATATTAATAGAGTGATTATCTCTGGTAATAGGATTAACCTTTTTTATATTTTCATTTCTATTAGTAGTCATTTAAAAAAAAGATGGTGGCTGGCTGAGGGTATAAGGAAACAATCCATATTAAAGGATTAATGCTTATTGTTTAGTATGTATGCCTTCAGTATGGAAATACTTTGCACTATAGCTCAAACTGAAATTTTCAGTTTTCTGGTAACTCTATAAAAGTTATTTGTTAAGTTTATAGTCTTCCTTTTATATTAGAGTCCTGTTTTTTCTCCTCATAAAGGAAGAAGAAAAAGGATGAGAAGGAAAATTCCTTGATAATAAATGAAGAAGATTTTTCTATTAAAACTCTTTAATTCTCCTAACACTATTCAGGTGTTGTTTCCGAATGCCAACAAGAGAGATCTCAACTGAAAAATAGAGAAATGGCTATGAAAAAGTTACGTGCAAAACTATACAGCATGCATGTAGAAGAAGAAACAAGTAAAAGATACAATGCTAGAAAAGTTCAGGTAAAACTGAATTTTAAAAATGCTTCTAAAGGATAAAAATATTTTTAGATAACCCAGTTTTTATAGGTTATAATTGTTTTAATATATTTGTCAAAATAAGAAAACAACTCACATAGCTCAACCGAGGGCTATACATGTTTTATGGTAATCTTATACTCTGCCTATTTTCTATATCAAGGCCTTTTTTCTCAGACTTAATCAGTTACTAAAAAAAGATATACAGAGTCCCCATTGATTTTGAATCCTTTGAAAGTTATGGAAGAAAGTTGGAAGGCAGCTTGAACTTAAAACTTTCTTCCTGTTTGGTATTTAACTTTCTAACTACAGAGCCCTTATATTAATTCTTTATTATGGGAAATTCATCTCTGTGTCACCACTGAAGATGACCAGATTAATTCATAGAGATTATATATATTTAGCTACCATTTGAATATCAACCATGTGATAGGCTGTATGTATACATCATCACTGTGTAGTAGGTATTGTCTATATTTATAGATGGGGAAACTAGAATTTAGAGTTGAAATAAATCGCCTGAAGTCATGAAGCAATTGATATGGCAGTGAGAGGATTCAAATACTTATCTATCTGACCTTAAAGCCCATATTCTTTTTTCTCTGTCCTGTTCCCAAGTTATTTGAGGATTCAGTGTTTAAAACTTGGTTCTTACATTGTGTTTCAAATTATAAGTCAAGAGCTTAATTTCCAGGTAAGTTGAATTTGCAGGTTTAGTTGCCTTGAATCTAACTGTATCTCCTATCTTTTTGTATATATATAGATTGGAACAAAAGGAAGGTCAGAGAAAATAAGAACATATAATTTTCCACAGAACCGGGTCACAGATCACCGAATAAACAAGTCACTTCATGATCTTGAAACTTTTATGCAAGGAGAGAATCTACTGGATGAACTTGTACAGTCATTGAAGGACTATGCTGATTATGAATCTTTAGTAGACATTATCTCCAAGAAAGTTTAATCTGATTTATTAAAAACTTGTATAGCTTATTAAAATTCTATAGTAAATCACATTTTGTGTAAATACCAGTATTCTCTTAAAAAACATGAGTTAATACAGTTGAAAGTAATATGCATACTTTTAAGATAGATAATTTATATACATCTTCTCTCAATGCATTAATAAAAAACATACAATATAATCATGACTCTTGTTGTATATTTTGGACTCTTCCTCACAGGAAGTAGACACAGGAAACTAGTCTTTTATTTTATGTTGAGTATTTAATGAAGCATCAAAAATTTAGTTTAACTCTTATAAAAAATGACAAACATCAAATAGAAATATGACAGTAAATACTGTATCAGTCAAGGTCCAATCAGGAGACAGAAACCATACCATTAATTTGAACAGGGATAATTTTGATAGAATAATTTTTAACTGATAAGGGGATTACCTATTAGGGGATAAAAGAGAATTTTAATACACTTGGAGGACTGAGACTCAGTAACTAAAAGAACACCCCTGGAAGGGGTTTCCTTTCCTCCAAGATGGAGAGTCAGGCCTATTGGAGAGTGTGTGGCTATGGCCCACTTGATGACAGAAAAGTTCCCTGGGTTGCCCTGGGCCAGAGCTGGTCTGCAGGTGGTAGATCAGGCCTCACAAACAGAGAACCTCACTCTTAAGGACTGGCAAGCAAGAAGCCTAACAAAGCGACAGCAGAACATGAAGGGTAAGCATCAGCAGGTGTCTGCATCAGTCAGAGTTCTCCAGAGACACAGAACCAATAGGATATGTGTGTATATATGTGTGTGGGTGTGTATACATATACTCATATGAGAAGAGATTTATTGTGAAGAATTGGTTCACGTGTTAAGTAGGCTAGCAAGTCCAAAATCCGCAGTGTGAGCCAACAGGCAGAGAGCCAGAAGACCCAATGCTGCAGTTTCAGTGCAAAAGCAGTCTGCTGGCAAATTCTGTCTTATTCAGGGCAGGCCAGTCTTTCTAGGCCTTCAACTGATCAGATGAGGCTCATTCACATGGAGGGCATTCTGCTTCACTCAGAGTTCACTGATTTAAGTGTTAATCTCGCCCAAAAACACTGACAGAAACACCCAGAGTAATGCTGACAAAATATCTAGGCACCCTGTGGCCCAGCTAACTTGACACTAAAAATTAACCATCACAGTGTCCAAGAGCACCCCTGGCAGCTGTGTCATAGAAGCAATAGGAAAGGAAGCACTTTAGAAACAAGAAGAGAACCCCCTTCCTCCCACATTCCCTCCTCCGTCCACTCCTGACAAAGCTGTGGGTACCAGCTGCCGAAGGAGAAATGTTTACAGGTCCAGCTCCAGCATCACGAAGTAGGGTGATGAAAGGTGAATTTGTTGCTGCAAGGGAATAAATTGGTAACTGACATAAACACCCATACTCATTACCTAGTTTCAATAATTGATAGGTTTTCCTATTTGTTTAGTTGTAGAAGTTACAAATAATTACACTTCACCCTGAAATATTTTATTTTTTGAGGAAGATTAGCCCTGAGCTAGTATCTGCCACCAATCCTCCTCTTTTTGCTGAGGAAGACTGTCCCTGAGCAAACACCTGTGCCCATCTTCCTCTACTTCATATGTGGGACGCCTGCTACAGCATGTCTTAACAAGTAGTGCGTAGGTCTACACCTGGGATCTGAACCGGCAAATCCCGGGCCACCGAAGTGGAAGGTGCGAACTTAACTGCTGTGCAACTGGGCCAGTCACCACCCTGAAATATTTTAGCTTGCGTTTTAAAAAATAAGGACATTAGGCCTGGCCCCATGGCCAAGTGGGTAAAGTTCTGCATGCTCCACTTTGGTGGCCCGAGTTCACGAGTTCAGAACTACTCCACTCACCAGCCATGCTGTGGCAGTGTCCCACATACAAAAACATTGAGGACGATTAGCACAGATATTAGCTGAGGGCTAACCTTCCTCAAGCAAAAAATGAGGAGGATTGGCCATGGATGTTAGCTCAGGGTGACTCTTCCTCAGCAGAAAAAAAAAAAGGCATTATTCTACTTAATCATTTACTATCATCAGACCTAACAAAATTCACAGTATACCCTAAAATTTCTTCAAATACCCAATTCAGATTTCCCCAATTCTCCCCAAAATGTTTTAATTAGCTTCTTCAAACCAGGATCCAAGAAGGGATCACGTGGAAATTGATGGTTATATTGCTTAAGTCTCCCTTCATCTAGAACAGTCCTGCCAACTGCCACCCCTTTTTTCATGACATTGCATTGAACTTTCATTTGAGAAGATCGGGCTATTATGGTGTCATTTAACTTATTCCTCAAGTCACAATATTTCCTACAAAGAGGAAGTTACAACTTAAGACTCAGCTAGTTTTGCATACTGCCTTTTCCTATGACTTAGCATTTCTGTCATTAAAATATACACTTAAATTAGTCAGGTTTGAAGGCCCCGATGCACTGAGATGTATTAGATTCTCTTACAATAACAGGTGAAACAAATTTACCCGTGTGAATTGAGAATTCAGTGTTGAACGTGAGCTTAAAGCTAAGTCGGTATAATCTTTATCAATATTTTTCTTTCCTAAGATTTAAAAGAAGTAAGTTGCTCCTTTTTCCATGAGCATCCTGGTTATGAATAGCTCTTTTCTGAGAAAACTGACTCCAGAGAATTGGGGCCTGAAAGGGAAGGAAAGCCAAGGAGTGCTCGAGGCTGCATAGCTGTCAAAGACCTCTTGGTATTGAGAGCAACAGAATGAGGAAGTGTACTTGATAAAGCAATAGCAGACACCCCAGGATTCTCCCATGGTGTGTGTGCTCCCTCACTGCAAGGAGTTGTAATAAATTCAACCTGTTTAACTACAAAAAAAAATAAAAAAGAAAGAACTATAGGACATGTCAGTTATCCAATAAAGAAGTGAGTAAAGCTGGAAATGTTGGCTCAAGAATATTCTGGAAACCTGAGGTAAACTAAGGACTACAATTATAAGAAGAGCTCTACGCAGTAGATAATGAATAAATATTAAATTTGTAGTAGTTACAACAAGGTACGATTTCCAGAGAAACAGTGCTTTCACTATTAACGTTATGTGATTAAAATTTTAAAGAATTAGGGGACATTTAGTTAACTCCCAAAACTGTGACACTTTTCCCATATATGAATTCTTATGAGTCTATGTCCTACACAAATTCAAAACTATATTACTGTTGGATAATGTGTTTCCTCTTTCATAGGTCAAACTTTATTAGCCAGATTTCCTTTAAAGCCCCAGCTTGTGCTAATTTGCAGAATAATTTTAGATTGATCATTTATTGTCTCACCTTATTGCTTTAAAAGGGAGGTATAGAGCAAACATTCAAGACAGGCTGATAATGAAAGCAAGCCAAAGGTTATCAAACACATGAGAGATTTTTAATTTGAAAAGAATCCCTCTCCCCTGTAATATTCTGCTCATGAAAGGCATTCTGGGAACAGTTGATGAATGGAGCTTTCATTAAGCCATGCAATTCAAAAATACAGCAAGATGTTAATTCCACCATATTCATTGTCTGCATAAGGCCCAATGCAAGCTTGTCTCTCCCACAGTTTTATCAGTGATCTCTTGGGTCTTTCAGTTTCCTTTTTGAATGAAAGGGAATTAAATATTTACAAGTTGTTAAATATTACAGAGTAATATTACTTAACTTCTTTCTCTCTTCTAATAGGTAATAATTTAAAAAGTTGGGTTGAAATTGTGAAGTGTCTCAAATGTTGGATTTCATTCTGTACACAAGGGAGAGCTAAAAGTTTACTTATTCTGCTCCCATCCTCTCCACTTCCTCACTCTCTGCCCCATGGGAAAAGAAGGTGTGTGCACTGTATTAGTGAGGGTGGAAAAGAACCTCTGATCAATTGTCAAACTTCTGTCCACTAGAAAATCATAATCATAATACCGAGGTAATTTTAAAAATATAAACTTCAAATACGTATCAGTAGGTGTATTATGAACACACACAGAGTTAACTGGCATTGGCTTCTAGGTCACTCACTAATCTAAATTGATGATTCCTAGGTGATCAAATATAATTTTTGGAACTCAGGAAAAGGTGAGGGTAGAGCACCATAATTTCGGCATGAAGCCTACTAGAACCCTAAGTCTGACATTTTAAGGGCCTTGGAATTTTGTAGCTGTTGGCACAAACTGCACCTACACATGTACTTATAAACCATGCATCATCACTCCGACCTGTCTTTGCTGATGCTGCCCTCTCTGCCTAGAAAACACACTCGTTTACCTCAGCACACAGATTTCAAGGTCCAACCTAAAGGGCACCTGAGCCCCTGGCAGAATTAACTGCTCTTCTTGGGTACTTTACCATTCCTGAACATTTATGCTAGGTAATAAACTCACTGCGTTACTCAAGACTGAGAGCTTAATAAGCAAATGGGAAAGGGGGGGAATGGAATAAACATGGATTAGGAGACCTGTCACATCATCTCATTAATGGACAAAACTGTGTTCTCTTCATTCTTGTCTCTTTGAGACCTAACATCATGCTATAATAGGCACTAAACAGACATCTAAAAGGCAGTTATAGCTGAAGTATTTGTCTAGAAATCTGGTATATTGTTCAGAAAGAGCGAAAACTGAAAATTTCAAAATGGCCTACAACACCTCTTAATCAAAACACATGTACCTAGAATGGCAATTTTGAAGATGTACAAACAGATGATCACTATGCGTAAAATGAAACTTGTCCTATTCCTCTATAACCCATTTCTCATTGTGTGATCTCAATTTCTTTAATGGTATTACCATTCTCTCTCTCTCTCTCTCAAACTCAAAATGTGGTCACATTTGATTCTTCCTCCTCACATGCAGTTTATTGCTAAATCCTGCTCTCCTACTAAACACTAATCCTCTCCAATTCCATTATCACTATTCTTGTCCAGAATTACTCCTCTCCCGGACGACTTTAATAGTCCCCTGACTTCTCCCTGCATCCTCTCTATCTGCTAATTCAGGTTACATATATTTAATCACCAGATTCATCTTTCTAAAAAGCAAGACTCTGATCTTGTCACTGCTTTGCTCAATAACCTGTTTCCTATTGCTTCCCAAATAAAACTCCAACTCTTTAAGTTTGCATACAATATGTCCAAATCTGTATCCAGCATCATTTCATATTAGCCCATTTTACACACCACCC